AAAAAAAAAAGAAACTTAAGGAATGGAGAAAAAAACCTAAAATAAAATAAAATTAGACCAAACAAAAGTTTACATATCAAACGAATTGTCACTTAGGGAAAAAAAATAAATAGTGTTAATACACTAAATGACCATATAACTTTACAAAACACAAATTTTCGCCATGTTTGGTAAAAAACATTTTTTTTAACCATTTTAGCATGTAATAATACTAAAATACCCCTATCTTAATTTTAATTTCACATTTTCTTTTCTTTCCTCCAATTTAATATTTCAATTTTCACAACACATTTCCCCTAAATATTTCACTTCCACTTTTAATCGTTCAAGAGAAAAATAAAATAAAATAAATAAGTAAACGAAGCGCGACCTCCTCGCCGGCAATTACTCACTTCCACTCACGATGACTTCAAGACCTGCGCAGACGACCTCGCCGGCAGTATTCACGACTTCCGACCTCCGACCGTGCTCCTCGCCGGGAAAAAACCGGCGGAGGCATGGCTCTGGCAGCGGCGCGACATCTGGACCCCTCCGGTTGAAGCGGCGTCTCGATCTCGGTGTTTGGCTGCCTGATCCTCTAATCGATGGCGTGGGTTGGCGAATGGTCTAGTGCCTGACCGGTTACAGCCGTCGGCTTTCAGGTTAGGGTTTTTTTGTTGGCATGTTAATTTATTTATTTTTTTTTTTTTGTTGAAATTGTGTAGTAAATATCTTGGTAATTGCTTGATTCCTACTATGTGCAAACTGTTTAAATTTGGATCTGATGAGACTACAGATCTGAGCTTCGACTAAGCCGTCTATTTTCGAAGCTTCATTTAGAAGCCCTTGGCTTGGCTCGGATTTAGCAGTTTGTACACACACACACACACACAACTGCATATGTCTTTTGATTGCAAACTATGTCTAATTATTTTCAGACAAAACCGCACGAAAGCTGTCGAGATTCTTGTTAAAGATCTCAGGGTGTTTGCCTCGTTTAATGAAGATCTTTTTAAAGAGATCACCCAGCTTTTGACTCTTGACAATTTTAGGTAACTTTTTTATTTATCAGTTACATTAATCTGATAATATTAAGAATATATAGTTTGGTTTTGTTCATTACCCTCTACTTGAATTATGTCCAGGTCTGCTCATATGCATGTTTTAGATGTTTAGTAGTTGAGGTCTCACTGTTTTCATGTCAAATTTTTGTTGGGTGGTTTTGCAATCTTAATTGGCAGCATCAGCTTTGCAAAAATCCTCGACCAAATCCAGATATTAAAACTCTTTTTATTGACCAGTCTTGTGCTTCGAGTAATGGCGCTCGTGCCCCCCTCCAACTAATAACCCTCTCGAGGGGCCTGTTCCTAAACCAGGTGTTTTTTCTCCCCTCAGAATCCATGGTGTAAGTAGTTTTTATTGTGTTTGCTTGCAAACTGAGATACATTTCTTTGGCATCTCAAATTTGTCAATTTTTTTTTTGTTTTTTTTTTTAGCAGCCTTTCCAGCCAGTTGTTTCACCACCTCCAAGTGCAATTGCTGGTTGGATGTCAACTGCTATCCAGTCCATACCCATGCTGCTGTTGCCGCTACTCCTCTTTCTCTTTTTTATGGTTCTGTCATCTACATTAAGTGTGATGCTTGGTTTGAATTTTCCTTAATTTTTTATTTTAAGGTCACATATTGATCTTATCTTATAAGTTTGAAATGTATTAGAACTTACACCTTGGTTCTGTCTAAACAATTATGGTTAAAGATGCTACCATATCTGTTAACAGATGTGTATGGGGCCCGGATGGATCTATACTTGGTAAAAATAAATTTGTGTTGGTGCTTGCTCATAAATTTTGTTCTTATTTATTTGATTTTGTTTGGGAGTTGCTAATTGTCATGCCTTGTTTTTTGTGAAGGTGTTGCTTTCTCCAAACACATTATTCAGATATATACATATACTCCTGCTGGGGAGTTAAGACAACATTTGGAAGTGAGGATGTTTTTGTACTGTGGCCAATTTTGTTATTTTTTGCCTCTTTTGGTTGATGGTTTTGGGTTTGAATATCTCTCGTTGATAATGTAAACTCGATATTACTCTTGAACTTTGTATATTGGTTCTTTCGATTTTGCCTCTTTTGGTTTGTTGACATCATTTTCAGTAAACCGAATTGAGTGACGCTGACCCCTTGATTATGTTCAGTAGAAGGATGATCGAAGTCGCATAAAGTAGGTGATGCCTTTATGGGTCCCAAGATTCTGACGCTAATTTCAGGACAATCACTTGTCGGGTAAAAATTCATCAAGAACCGACATCGTCGTCAATTGACCGATATCTCATGTCGGTTATGACATGTCGGTTACTACATGTCGGATACAACATATCGGTTATAACTGCTCAAACCGATATCTATGACTCGCTAGACCGACATCACAAGGCGGTGCCAACTCAGCACAACTCATCATTACACCTGGCCAAATGGCACGCTATCAAGATGAATGGCAATTAGTCGCCGTTGACTATTCTTGTGTAATGATTACATATTAGATCAATGTTGTAAATAAATATAAAAGGAGAAAACAGTTCTCCAAGCCAGCGAGGAGAGAGACATACATATACAATAATATTCAAAGAAATTTCATCTTCTTCCACTGCTCACATAAGCTTTTATTGATTTATCTTGAGTTTACTACAAATCCCTGTCGATTATATAGTTGTTAATTTCCGTTTGACAACAGTTTGACGCTAGAAGGAGGGCGCATATCACGTTTTGAAGTTAACTTTCGCTGTTAAAGCCATTTTCACGCTTGAAGCTATCATGTCGCAGTCTGGTCGAGACCACACAACTCATCCTGGCCAGAGCCAATCGACTAACCATTCTCCGCGGCGTACAACACCACCTCCTCCGGTCACGAACATCACGAACTTTCTTCAAAACCCGGAGTTCATTCAAGGCTTAACCTCTTTGATAGCCCGAGCCATGCCCCGAAACTCAAATACAGTACCATTGTCAATACCGTTAACAACCAATCCAACAAAACATCAACCCATACTCGTCATGACCATGAAACGCATGCGGCGACATCCCATGCTACGTCACAACCTCATCATGCTTCTCCACGTCGAGAAGAGTTAACTCGTGTAACTGCTAACCCAATAACGAACAATCAAGCCCCGGAGGAGCCCCCTGTACAGGAAATGACTGTTGAAAGCCACTCTGCTCATCATCAAACAATTTCGCCACGTCCTAGGCCCGTTTCGTCAGCGCCTCACGCTCGTGAAGATTTGCGGCGCCAGATTGAACGAAATCGTCTTTCAAGACATAGCGCGGAAGAAATTGAAACTCTTCGAAAACGCTTGGCTGAACTTGAGACTCGACAGAAGTCGCAGGAAGACTCTCCCCGACATGTTACGACGTCGGGAAATGTCATTATTGAAGCAGATTCACCTTTAGCTCCGCAACTTACTGCGGAGGCACTTCCCGTTAAGGTAAAAATCCCGCAAATCGGCATGTATGATGGGACATCAGATCCAGATGCGCACTTGGGCCATTATACATCCTGGATGGATTTACATGGTGCTTCAGATGCTTTGAGATGTCGGATGTTTTCGCTTACACTGGGGCCACGAGCACAAAAATGGTACTATACTCTCCCACCTAATTCAATTTGGAAATGGCAACAGTTACGTGCGGCCTTCCGATCGCATTTTATCGGAGCCCAAATTTGTCTCATTCCGAAAGAATCAATTACCAACATCGTGCAAAAGGACGACGAGACTGTTAAGGACTATGTGTCTCGGTTCAACGACCGAATTTAGAACATGGAGCCTTGTCACCCTGAAACCTTGTTAGTAACTGCCATTGCTGGACTGAAGCCCAACTCAATGTTTCGCTGGACTTTGTGCCAAAATAAACCTGCTACATTTCAAGAATTTCTTGTGCGAGCTCAACAATTTATTATTGCCGAAGAATCGATGTCGGTTCTCAGTTTCGACTTCTCGGTGAAAGAAAGCAAGACTGAACCGGACGCCAAAAAGAAGAATAAGAAGAACTTTGGGAAAGCACAGTTTCGGAACTCCTCCAAAGGATATGAAAATACTCCAGAGTCTCGGGCTGCTCGTGATCAGTACTCAGATAATGTCAGGACAGGCTATCAGGCAGTTTATTCCACCAGAGCAGCCACCATATATGAAGAAATAAAAGGAAAAGGGATTATTCCAGACCCGAGGCCTGTGAGAACCCCTGAAGACAAGCTGGACAAAACTCGATACTGTGCGTATCACAAGTCTCCGGGACATAATACCGATGAGTGTCTCGGCCTTTTTTCAGCACTCTTACGGTTAATCGGACAACCTCAGCTTCAGCACTCCGGGACATAATGCCGAGAAACGAGTCATGAATGTTGATCTTCGAGATACCATCAACAAACGGAATTGTCCTATCACATTCAGTATCGAAGATGCCAATCTATTTGCTCATCCTCATTCCGACGCCCTTATCATAACAGCCCCGATTGGAGGGATTCCTGTTCATCGGATTCTGGTCGACACAGGAGCTTACTCGAGCATTTTGATGCTTCGCACGTTCAAAAAATTGGGTTTGGACCCAGCAGACATTAGGCCTTGCAACGACCAAATTCAAGGTTTCAATGGAAGCATTTCTTGCCCTGTCGGCGAAATACTACTCCCTATTCAGTTTGGTGGCTTTGGACCAAAATCCAAGATCATTATGGAGACTTTCAAAGTCTTGGATGTCCAGAACGAGTATAACGCTGTAATAGGACGAACTGCACTCTACAAACTTCATGCTGCTGTGTCAATTTTTCATTATGCCTTGAAGTTTCCCACCATTGAAGGGGAAGACACTCATTACGGAGATCAACGAGAAGCCCGAAGTCTGATGTTGCTCTCAACCTCGCGTAGCTTTCATATGATTGAAGGGTAGGGTGCTGATAACTCCGTTGAGCTGAACAATTCAACTTTTAATGCTGAAAGAACCGATCAGTTCGTTCCAAATACCGACATGCCTCGAGCAGATACCGACATGCCTCTTACGGACACCAATATCCCTATGACGTCGGTTTCGCCTGAAACATTAACTGAAGTCCTTGATCAAGAGCAACCTTTTCATGAGAAAGACATAGAAATGCACGAAGATATGGATCCACGGATGCAGTTCAAGGATGGAAATCGTCATGTCCGAGCGGAACCAGTTGAAGATGTCGAAACCATTTACGTGGATGGATCGACTCAACAAAAATCACTCCGCATTGGAGCTAACCTTCAAGAACCCATTCGATCAAGCTTAATTCAATTCCTTCAGTCAAACTCCGATGTGTTCGCTTGGAAGCATGAAGATATGAAAGGAATTGACCCGCAGAAAGCATGTCATCGCTTGAATTTGGATAAGACTGTCAAGCCCGTTATCCAGAAACGCCGGAAATTCGGCCCAGATCGCCAGAAGGCCCTTGAAGAGGAAGTAAACAAGCTCATAGACAATAAGTTCGTCAAAGAAGCCAAATACCCGACGTGTATATCAAATCCTGTCTTGGTCAAAAAAGCCACCGGTCTTTGGCGTCTGTGTATAGATTTTTCAGATTTAAATCAAGCGTGTCCGAAAGATAGCTACCCCATTCCACACATTGATTACATGATGGATGCTACATCGGGACATCAACTTATGAGTTTCTTGGATGCCTATTCTGGCTATAATCAAATTCCCATGCACCCTGATGACGCTGAACATACCTCGTTCTACTCAGCTCGAGGCCTTTATTATTATGTCATGATGACTTTTGGATTGAAGAACGCAGGGGCCACGTACCAAAGGTTGGTCAATAAGATGTTTGCTCGTTTGATCGGCCACACGATGGAAGTTTACGTGGACGACATGTTAGTGAAATCGGAACAGGCCTCTGATCACATTGCCCATCTTTCCGAGGTCTTCGATATTCTTAGAGAGTATTCTATGGTGCTTAATCCCAAGAAGTGTACTTTTGGAGTTGGATCAGGGAAGTTTTTAGGGTACATGGTGAGTCAGAGAGGGATCGAGGCCAATCCTGCCAAGATTCAAGCCATACTTGACCTGGCTCCCCCGACATCTATTAAGGCTGTTCAAGCTTTAACTGGTCGACTGGCAGCTCTCAATCGATTCATTTCAAAATCTACAGATCATTGCAAGCCGTTCTTTGACGCTATCAAAAAGAAGAAGCCATTCGAATGGACTACGGAATGTCAGAATGCTTTTGACAACATCAAAGAAGTTCTTTCACGGTTACCGACGTTGCAGAAGCCACTTCCTGATGAGCCTCTGTATTTGTACCTGGGTGTAAGTGACGTGGCTGTTAGTGCTGTTCTTATACGACAAGATGGGCTTCAACAGTTCCCGATATATTACGTTAGCAAGGCCTTACATGACGCTGAATTGCGATATCCGTATATGGAGAAGTTAGCCTTTGCTCTGATCATCGCTGCACGGAAGGTGCGCCCATATTTTTTGGAACATTCAATTGTCGTATTCACAACATACCCTCTCCGACAAGTCCTTCACCGACCAGACACGTCGGGAAGAATGATCAAGTGGGCGATAGAATTGGGACAGTTTGATCTTCAGTACCGACCACGAACCGCTATCAAAGCTCAAGTATTATCTGACTTCATTGCTGAATTTACTCCCACTATCAATGCATCCATTGGAGAACCGACATGGACTCTCTACATCGATGGATCGTCCACCACTATACGAGCTGGAGGAGGAATTGTTTTAGTTAGTCCTGATCAACAAGTGTTTTGCTACTCTGTAGCATTCACCTTCCCGGCCACCAACAACGAAGCCGAGTATGAGGCCCTCCTATCAGGCCTACGTTTTGCTGAATCCATGAATGTCTCCTCTCTCCAAATATTTTCTGACTCTCAGTTGCTAGTCAGCCAAGTCAATGGCACTTACGAAGTTAAAGAACCACAGTTATTACCCTATTTTGATCTTGCGAAGAAGAAACTGTCACAGTTCAAAATGACTTTGGAGCATATACCTCGGTCATCCAACATTCAGGCAGATGCTCTTTCACGTTTGGCCTCATCGACCGATTTGAATAATGTCGAGTTCGTGCAAATTACTCAACAGGCGACCTCATCAACAGTCTCTACCGACGTCGTCATGGTTGACGCCGCCTCACCAACTTCAAATCCGACGTGGATGGATCCGATCGTCGACTATCTTCAAACCGGGGCCATACCTGAAAACCCGAAAGAAGCTCGCACTCTCCGTGTTCGTGCTGCTCATTTCACTATTGACCAGGGAACGTTATATAAGCGTGGATACTCTACTCCATTGCTTAAGTGTTTGTCAGAGATTGACGCTCAACGAGTTCTTCAAGAAGTACACGAAGGAGTCTGCGGTACTCACCAGGGAGCTCAAGCTTTGTCCCACAAGATTCTCCGGCAAGGCTACTACTGGCCGACTATCAGGAAAGATGTCGCAGACTGGGTGCGAAGATGCCACAAATGCCAGATATTTGCCCCTAACGTTAATCAACATCCCGAACTCCTCAAGTCAATTTATAGCCCGTGGCCATTTGCAAAATGGGGAATTGATTTGATCGGCCCACTTCCAACAGCAAAAGCGGGGGTTCGGTTTGCTATTTTAGCTGCCGATTATTTCACTAAGTGGGTTGAGGCCGAGCCTCTTGTAACCATCACGGAACAAAAAATGATCGATTTTGTATGGAAATCAATCGTTTGTCGGTTTGGAGTACCGAACTCCATCATAACCGACAACGGTCGCCAGTTTGAAGGGAAGCGATTTGAAAGCTTTTGTGAAGATTATGGCATCAAGCACTTCTTTTCGTCACCTTATCATCCACAAGCTAATGGACAAATAGAAGCCGTAAATAAGATTATCAAGAATGGTCTGAAAACTCGGCTTGAGACTGCAAAAGGATCATGGCCTGATGAGTTACCTTACGTCCTATGGTCCTACCGAACGACAACAAGAAACTCGACTGGAGAAACTCCGTTTTCATTGGCATATGGGACTGAAGCTGTAATACCGGTTGAACTGGTTTCTCCAACATATCGGGTCACTCACTTCTCTGAAGAAACCAACTCGGCAAATTTGAAAGCCAATCTCGATTTGATCGATGAGTTACGGGCTGATGCTGAAATTCGAAATGCCGCTTATAAGCGACGTAGTGAAAAGTACATCAATTCAAGACTCAAGCCACGCTCATTTGTCAAAGGAGACCTTGTGCTGAAAAGAGTCACCGGGGCCAATGTCGGCCCGTTACAACCGAAGTGGGAGGGACCTTTTAAAATAAATCGTCTGATTTCTAATGGTACCTACCGACTCGAAACTTTAGATGGTGTTCCCCTTCAATATCCCTGGCACACAACCTATCTGAAGAAGTACTACCAGTAAGCTTGAAAGACAACGTTCTCTCCCTGACGTGTAAAAAGTTTTTGTCCTACTCATGTACAAGAACCATATTTTGCTATCAATAAAATTTGTGTGACGAACCTCTATAATTTGTTCGATCACTCGGACCACAATAAATCGGTCCTTGTTGCTAAGGCTAAACGTGTTTCATACCCTGAAGATGGTATGACCTAGCCAAACGCGACAAAGCCGGATACTTCCAAGCCCTGAAGTTGGTTTGGGAAGGCTTATGCTCTATAATATCAAATCCCGACGTTGATTTGGTGAGCTCACAATAAATGTTTACAGTAAAAAGCAAGTCTTTTATGACTTGTTCCAATAAAGAGTTTGCAGATGTTGGATAAACTATAAATTGTGCCGACATAAAAAATTTAACCAAACTCAAGGCAAGACAATGTAAATATTAAATATCACGTCGGAGTGATTACGAGCATGATCCATTGAACGTTTGTTTATTTTCCTCCGACATGTTTTGACTTAGTACAATAAATGTCAAAACAATACATACATGAAACATAAAACCAAGACATTAAATTTCATTCATAATAAGAAATTGTCATTACATCCGATAAAAAACAAAAAAAAAAAAGAAAAAAGAAAAAGAGAGATAACAGATTTCATTCATCTTTCTTAGTCCCCGACAACGACGCTTCTCCCACAGTGGAAGATTGAGGATTCCCGGCCTCAGCCTTATCCGCAGCATCCAAATGATTTATCAGTCTCTCGCCCAAACGCTGCATTACCTCCTCTTCCTTCTCTTCCATTGCTCGGACGACGTCGCTTTCTTTTATGATGACGACGTCATCATCCTCGTGTAAAACTCGATCGTCGTCGGATGGAATCAGTTCAGTCAACCACCCTTTGGCTTTGGCGTCGTCTTCTGCCACTTTCCTCAAGGCAAAGCCGGTAATTGCCTCCATGAGCTCCTCGTCAGATAAGTTTTCCAGAGTTTCGATGACGAACGCCTCAGCAATCGCCTTAACACATATATTCGCCAAGTCGGGTTTTTTGGCCTTTTCCACCTCAAGGACCATATCAACGAACGCCCGACGAATTTTGGCTCTACGTTCCTCCGACAAAGGCACCATATCCAACTCCAGCATCCGACTTTCCTTCTGCTTTAGAAGTCGGTCGGCAAAATCCCGCTCATCTTGGTCTGCTGGGATATGGGCATTCTTAATCTCAGGGTTGAGGCGATGCTTCTCTATTTTTTCCAAAAGAAAGATGCGCAGCTCATCGACGGTATAGATGCCATTTTCCACTCTGTCGATGACCCAGCGCAATGTTAGTGCGGCATTCAGTTCTAAGTCCCACTCGGTCACGATGTCCTCACTTAACACCTTGTCGGATTCAGCCACCGCCTTCTTGCCGACATCAATGCCCTCTTGGAACTTGAGTTCGGCGGCGGCTGTCATCTCTTGACGGAGCTTACTCATGGCAACCTCATGAGCTTCACGACTTCGGATCAGCTCAGCATCCTTATCGGATCGATCATTGCGGACAGCTTGAAGCTCAGCCCTTAACCTCATGAGCTGTTCATCTTTTTCCTTGGCCGATTCTTCAACTTTGGCCAGCTGAACCGACATGAGATCATGCGCCAGTAAAAGATTTTCTCTTTCAGTCTTCAGGGCGCCCACCTCGGTTTGTGCCGCTTTCAACTGGGCATCCTTCTCTGACATAGATGCCTCGTAACGAGACTTTTCATCCTCTAAGGAAGCTATCGCGCCTTCCTTCAAGCTCAGCTCGTGTTGCTTCTCATCCAATTCGTGCACTCTACCCCGGTAAATTTCTTCGGCAGCAATAAAGCTCACCAACGCCCGTCCTAAACAACCTCGGGCGTAGCTGAATTTTTTTATCGTCAGGCAGAGATGCAATTCCAGCATGAGTCTTCGGGTCCCACGACATCAAAGGGACTTTCGCCGCCTTAACCGCCTCACTGGGGACCCGATGGTTAATCGTAACCTTTGGCTCAATGACTGTTTGGAACATCGAGAACCAAGGGTCAAACACCCCTTCCGGCAACGTCAGCTCCGCCGCCTTCTTCTCATTAATCTTAAGGAAGGAGTCCCTCAAGATAATTTCAGGCTCTTCCTCCTCCTTATCTTTACCGGTGCCAGTGTTTGGTTTTTTCTTCATCCTCTCGGCTACATGCGACACGCTGGATCTCTTACGCCGTTGGACCACGTTAAGAAGCGGCTCTTACGACGCCTCTCGCATGATGTCGGTCTCCACAGTAGGCTCCTCTACCGACGTCATCACTTGTTGAATTGGAGCGACTTCAAGTGGTGGGACGTCGGTAACCAACGGCTCACTAACGATCGCCGGTGTCGGTTCCACCCTTGCAGACGATGGTTCACCGACAGCACTTTGAGAACGATTGGGGTTCTTTTTCCATGACTTCAGAAGATTCATGCGTCCAGCCATCTCTGTTGATCGAAGGTTTTTGTTCTTTCCGACCTTGTTCTTCAAATCCAAATTCGGATTACGCCTCCTATGTTCTTCTGCCTCTATGGGATCTCCAAAACCGAAGTATCCCAGTAGTGGATAATAGACTGTTACAGAGAATTTAAAGTTAGACCGACCTCACTCATACGAGAGATAAAACAGAATGAGTGAGAAAATTACCTGGTTGAAATGAAGAGTCAAGTATCCCAGGAGACAAACCAGCTAGCTCTAATCGGGAATCTTTCACAAGCCGTTGATATCGTCTCTTATTGTGGGAAACTTCGAACAGCTTGTCCACCCGATCGTACAGTAAGCCTTCGAACTTGGGTTCTCTCTTTCCCGTTGGTTTCGCTACAAGGTCACAAAAGTCCACCTGTTAGCGAAAACAAAAAACAAGATATTAATAACCGAAATGAAGAAAATGGTAAACAACTTACAATAACCAGATTTAATAGCCATTGAGATGCTTGTCCCATCGGCGAGAAGATCATTAGCAAAGTCGGGGCACTGCCAGTCCCCACCGACCCACAACCATTCCTCTTGAAAGCCGTGTAATGTGTCGGGGACCTCCATTACTAACTCGCCAACCTTGACTCTTGGTTGGGGTTTACCGACAATGGAAAAAGTGAGAAGTGGGTCCGACACTTGTCTATCTGGGCTCTTCCGGAATGTAAACATGCTCCTCATATCCTTCGCCGACGTTAAATCCCAATTCTTTTCGGCGAAGAGCACCAGTAGTCCAATAATCCGCTTCCATGAATTTG